AACTGAAGCCGATCTATTCTATACAGATGAAGTAAGTTCATTCTTAATTCTTCTCCTCTCTCTCTCTCTCTCTCTCTCTCTCTCTCTCTCTCTCTCTCATCTCCATATAAATACATATAAATATATATTTTTTATATTATAAATAAAGAAATTCCTTTGTGTTCGTGTCGTGTCGTCGGTCAAATTGTTACCCAGTGGTTTGAAGGAGAAAAAAAAGAAGAGAAGAATGCTATCATTTCTTAATGATTCTGCTGCGAATCAATGGAATTCAATGTGAGATTTCTGATTGTTTGCCGCTCGCTTCAAAAGTTTCAAAAATAATTTCATTTTTTATTCAAACGAACTTTAAGTTCTTACGAAGACATACGAAGTTTCATTTTGTAACTCCATGTACATCAACATCTTAAACAGTTGTTAGATAATGCGTCTTGATCATATGCGGAGAGAAAGAGAGATCAGATTTTTGGGCTACTATCATCATATCTCTCTCTCTCTCAATTTGTCTCTCTCTCTCTCTGTATCTCTGTGTCTATTATATCCATCGGTCTTTTCTCTTCATTAAATTTCTAAGATCATCCATTTTCATTGCGAGAACGAAAATTGGATGAAAGATGAAGTGTATAGGACAATAGGCTGAGGTTACACAGAAGATACATTCAGCTGTCTCATAACTACCTTAAAAGTTCACTGTTTTCCTAGTTCTCTTTTCATTCGCAAAAAGACAAAAAAAAAAAGAAAAAAAAACATTTTTGATAATTGAGAAGACAATTTGGGGAAGACAATCGTGTATTCGCCTAATTGAAGGAAACGTTCTTCCATAGCAGCCTTCAGTCATTTTTTTCTTCTTCTCTCTCTCTCATGCGTGTGTGCCTCTCTCTCTATCTCTCTTTATGGAAGAAAATACGTAATATAGCGTGTTGATAATTATTTTGTGATTGAGAATGTGTTTGAGTGTTTCCTTATTTTGCATATTGTTGAGTTGAAAGAGATCAGTTGCATCTTCCTCTCTTCTCATCTCAGTCTGTCACACTGTTATGTCATGTCCTTTAATTTATGTCTTTTCGTTGTTTATTTTTTAATAATAGATGTATGTGCGTTCTATCTTTTTTTCTTCTTCTGTTCGTGTGTGTGTGTGTGCTGGAGAGAAGTCGTTGTTGTGTTTTTTCTTTTCTCCATCTTCACCCATTAATCTTCAGACGCTCATGTTCGTGAACTTGTATTTCTGCGAACACGAGGAGGAGAAGGCCTTTTTTTCAAAATATTTGGGTTTCATTTGAATGTGCTGATTCTATCAAATCTTTCCGTTTTCCTTTCGTGAGTCAAGATGTTTGAAGACGTTCCCTAAGGAAATATGAACTGACTACATGACGAAAGGCTTGAGAATAAAAATATTTCTCTCCGATCTTTTCCCTCTCAATATTGTATTGATGAAAAAATGGAAAAATTATTGTGCTATGCTATGCGTATGTGCTAAGAGAAGCTGAAAGAAAGTTTTTGTAAAATATATTTTGGCTCATCTGTTTATCTATTCAATGCTTCTCCCTTTGAACTTGAGCTTTGTGTTGAAACTTCCGACGAAAATTTTTCTTCTGGCAGCCATATGACAGAATCTGTCGCCATATTGCGTTGTTTTTTTGAGCTGATATCTCAATGATCATCAAATCTTCCTTTCGGATGTCATCTTTGAAATTTGGGAGGAAAAAAAAAGATTCAATTCATCTATTGATATGGTTCATGGGATAAGATCTTTGAAATCAGAGTATATGGATATGATCATGGTCATGAGCATGTACCTGTGTGGAAGGCTTACAGGGATAATGTAGTTGTGCAAAAAATCAGTTTCAATCTTGACAATCAGTCAGAGTCTTCTTCTTCCCTTTCTCTCTTTTTTTTCTTCTCGGGATTTCCCTCTTTGATTCAGCCGCCCACATTACAAGCTGAAAAATTTTTCACATTTTGCTCTTTCCAGAAAACCTTATACTTCTCTGTTTTCACAAATGTGTGTTCCATGAGCTTGTCCATCAGTTGAGGTTGTCCTCTGTCCGGCCTTCATCTCTAATCTTCTCAATATGCACACTGTATCTATCCCTTTCATCATTCTAACGTCATATATCTTCAATTCGTTATCTTTTCTTTTCTTTTTGACTTTCTTTCTCATTAACAGGCGAGAGAGTAAACTAAGAAGAGAAGAGAAAGAATCGGAATCGTCGTCCAGGCTTTATGCTTTAAGCTAAGCAATTGGCAATGAGCAGTCGCCGACAGACCATGGTTGACCTAAAACAATCCTCTATGGTTAGTTTCCATTTACAATCAACATCTATATATAGCTTGTAGCTAAGTGAAACTTACTTCTCTGATTTCTTGAACTCTTTTTCTTCTTTTTTTTGTGTTTTTTTTGTTTTTCTGTCCTTCGATGTGTCTCTCCCACTCCCCTATCCCTCAGTATTACAAAGAAAATCGTGTTTTCTCCGGGTTTTCATTGTGAACTCCAAACCAAATATGAAATTTACTTTCCAAAGATTGTTGTTTGATTTTCTAGCTGGAGTAAACTTACCGCTTTTGAACTTGAAAGATTCTTCTGTTACGCTCCAAGTATAAGACGGCTATGGAAGAAGCTGAGACTCATACGAGAACAAAAAAATTTTTTTTTCGTTCCTCGACTTGTCCGTCCTTTCATTCTCAGCTGTAACTTTACATGTGTAGCTCATTCATTTTATAAGTGATTTTTCACAAAATATGATGAATTAGCATTGTAAGTAGGGCACGTGTTGCTTTATCAATTCCTCTCGTATCCTCGTAAATCAGATGAAGCTTCCACTGACTAACAGGTGCATTCCACACTTGCTCTTTGCTCCACAATTTGGTAAAATGATCTTTTCCTCGCTTGCACTTTCTTATCCAATAACTATAATACATCTTTGAAATGATCTCATTGCATATGGCTGATGCTGTGATCATCAAGCATGTACGTAGATGATCATTCATTCCATTTATCTCGTCTGTAAATGTTATTGTTGAAGTCTATAGATGTGAATGTACTAGATGACGATGACAAGCCTTCATCACAATAATAATTTTTTTCTAATCAGCCTCTAACATCGTTAAACTTCTGACACTTTTTGAAAACATAGATTCATATGAACCAGAATATTATCTGATCATCATTCTATATTAAGAGTTTCTTGGCATATTGTAAAGTTTTTTTAAAAAAATCATTTGTTTATTTGCCGTTGGATCACAACAGTTTATTTGTTGGCATAAGCAGTCCAAGCAACAGTGGTCCTGACCTGTTATTCGCACGAACGCTATTAACCCCTTTTCGCGCATTCGGTTATGAATGAACTTGTTTTTTGTTGAATTCTACATTTCACTCTCCCTCTCGCTCTCTCTCTTCATCTCTTTACATCACAACTCCCTACTTGCTCACCTCCTCCTTCCATTTACCTGAAATCATTTTTTTTGGGCTCTTCAACTCAAAACTCAATAAGATGAGATATGAATTGAAAGAAATCACTTGAAAATTCTGTGAAGCACTTCTATAAACAACCATTTAAGAAGATGATATGTGAGCTTAGTCTATCCTTATTCCACTTCTGAAAGAGCATCACCTTTGTTTTCATTCTTAAGCTTACATAGTTTCTCATTTTACTTAACCTTTCTATCTTCACTGCTTACCTGGCCATCAACTAGAAGCTCTCTGTCACTCCATTCAAGAAATCAAGAAAATGTTTTTTTTTGTTCTTTCTTCTTCAAACTTCTATTATAATCGCTTTTGCATAGATTTAAATCACCTGTGTGGTAAATGCTCATTTGCTCACAGCAAGACAGACAACAGGGGGAGGATGATTGCTCTCACACACTCCTCTACTCTGCTTGAACGAAAAAAAAATGTTTTGAATTCTGTCTGTCAACGGTTATGTGTTTATTGTTCCTCTTAACTGTCTCTGTATTTTCATGTTTATCATATGAAACAGTTTTTCTTGATAACAATCTTGCCAACAATAGCATTTGTATGTTCGATTGCGCATGTGAATGCGTGTGTCTATGAAGACGTTTAAGAGTTTTGTTACTTTTATTTTCTCTCTCTCTCTCTCTTCGTGTTTATTTTGTGAAAGACGAGGAACAAGAGGGATAGAGAGAATGAGAGAAAGAAAGAGAGAGAGACAGATGATCTCAAAAACTATTATAAACGAACTGCTTTGAAGGAACTTGGAGGCTCCGGACCGCAAGAGCGAGATTGGAAAGGAATAGCTACTGCTCTTCTGGTCATCATGGTCATATGTTCAATCATATTCTTAGCAGGTTACATATTTACGCCAAGTATGTTATAAGTTATAATGTTTTATAAAAACTTTCTTGAATTTCAGTCAGCTCGAATGATGTGACGGCTAATAGTCCGATTAGTTTCTCAGATCTAGTGAAGTTAAGATATCCATACTATGGAGTGGATTGGTTAAACTCCGACAGCATTCTATTCGAAACTTCCGAAGGAAACGCCAATATTTATAATATTCATAATAAGTCTCAATCATGTGCAATGGAAAGAACAGGAGTAAGTATTTGAAACTCATTTGCTCTCACTCTAACCTTTCCCTAACAAAACTTGTGTTCAAAAGATCATTTGAGTCTTCTATTTTGGCGTCCAAACATCCTTTTTTCATTCTGTAGTTGAATTGGCTATTCAATATACTATCTCCTCAACAGAATTTGAGAAGCCGTATCATCTTTTCTCGGGAACTTCGATACTATGCTTCAGCTGATCCAGCTCCAAATCCGGTATTCTAACCCATATCAGTCATTTTTGTATTCATTTACATCATTCAGTCATTGAACCCTGATAATGAGACAGCTTTCTACAGCATCACCAACATCAACACTCAGTTCGTTTCGATTCTCATGAACTTCTTCGAATGATTATATTCTAGAGCTCAATACAAGGTTGGCGAATCAAATAAAGATGATGAACGTCTCTGGACGTTCTTATGGAATCCTGCCGGGTTCGATTATGTAATACATCCACACTTCTCTTCTTTCTTCATAGTCGTATGCTTTAGGTGTTTGTCAAAGATGGACACATCTTCTATTCATCATCTCCAGAAGCTCAAAGCACCATCAGAGTATCTGAAACATTTGAGTCAGGACCAAATGTTCATGGCTATTTCGACTGGATGTATGAAGAAGAAATATTTAGTTCACGCACCGTAAGAAGCTATTTCTAATCTGAATAAAGTGATCGTTTGAGGCTATGTGGTGGTCGCCTAGTGGAGCTCGTTTAGCTTTTGCCAGTAGAATTGATGCTCATGTCAAAACAGTTGTAATGACAAGGTTTCAGTTACCCTTTTTTTCAGAAAAACAAAATCAAAAATTACAGATACACGTCTGCCCAGAAATATCCAATCATGAGTAATCTGGAATATCCAAAAACAGGAGAAAAACGATTGCCTTCTTATACTATCTCCATCTGGGATAAGAAAGCAAGGACAAGCAAACAAATGGATGTCCAACTCAGAGATAGCCGGTGAGCTTCACCTAAACAAAGCTTTTGTTCACAAAATGCTTTTTAAGAGAGTTCCATTACGTTTTCTCGGTCAACTGGATGATTCTTGATCAGCAAGAGGTAGCTGTTGTATTTTGGACCAACCGATATCAGAATCATCTCTCAGTTACTATTTGTGAGTATGATACAGGTCTTTGTAGTTTGGTAAGGAACTACCTTCGGAGCAATCTAAGTTACTTGTATAGGTAGCGGAGTTCAAATATCCAGATAAAACATGGGCTTCTCCTGAAGATTTCAACACTATGCTCCATCATAACAATAGCTTCTTCATCCTTTTACCAAAGCTTGTAAAAGCTGACCAATACTTCCAACACATTGCCAAATTCACTATCGAAGTTTGATTTTCAAAACTCCCAGTGCTGTATTTTCGTTTCAGCATGATTCAGCCAATCCTTCTATCCGATGGGCCAGACCAGTGTTTCTTCCTGTAGGCGAATTTGATGTGTCCAGTCTTACCAACTACGATTCCGACTATAACACAATGTAGAGCAGGAAGCAAAATCAAATTGAACTAGTTTTTTTTAGCTATTTCATCTCGCATGCTCCTTCACCAGCCGATCAACATATGTTCGTCACTAAAGCCTCTCCAGTACGTTACCTCTAGTCTCTCTATGATATAGATAACTGATTCAGGCTACTTCTGAAGAAGCTGCTTGTATAACTTGTTCTTTTGCCAATTGTTCGTACCAACAATCACGAGTTTCTCCTGATTTCAAGAATGTGATGGTTCAGTGTCAGGTTTTTCATCAAGGCTTAACTGGGTTACATATACTTCTTAAGGGTCCTTCTATGAAAGTATGGGTCGCATCATTGAAACGTTCTGCTACTCCTGAAGATGTACTACTTCTAAACCGTAGGGTTCAACTAGTTCATAACAAGCTGAAGATATACATTTTAGCTTACGAAGTCCTCGAGAATAAAGAACATGAGGAAGCAGTAGAGAAATTCAAAATGCCTATTCAGATAGATGATAAGTTTGATATGGGTAACGGATACGGTATGAGATACACCGTTTCGTTTCTTCATTAAGTTTCACTTCAGAAGTTCTTACTAGATTAACTATACCAGCTGGCCAGTTGAACAAATCTCATAGTCGTTCTTTACCACTTTTAGTTGTTGTGTGAGTTGTTTGTTGTCAGAGCTCATCATTTTCGAGCTTTAGATATGGTGGACCTTCAACCCAATCTATCAAGAATCAGTTGAGCTTTAGTCGACAAACCATGTGGGCTCACAACGGTCAAATGGCCATTCTGCAGGTTTGCAGTTCTTGTTTTCTCAACTATTTTCAATTAGGTTGATGGAAGAGGATCAGGCTCACGTGGATGGAAGTACCGATCTGCTATATATGGAGCTCTGGGAACGGTTGAGATAGAAGACCAAATAGAGGCAACAAAGTATTTTCAAATGCTCAATTTATTTTATATTCTTTTCTCTCATCAGAAAAATCTTGAGTAAATATCCGTTTTTGGACTCGAATCGAGTTGGGGTATTTGGTTGGTCTTATGGAGGATTTTCTGCTGCAAATATGGTGATAAGGTCTCCGGAGAGTTTCTTCAAATGTGCCATATCTGGGGCTCCTGTCAGCAACTTCATATATTACGGTATTAATCTACAACTATGTTTCTTGTGATAAACTTCTGGTTCCTTCAGATGCCGCTTACACAGAGCGTTACATGGGTGATGCCGGTAAAGAAGCTTATAGTCAATCAGACATTACAAGAGATGTTTCCAATTTCGCAAAAACTAGATTATTATTAATCCATGGACTTTTTGACGGTAATTGCCACTTATAAGATCTAATCACAGATACGTTCAGATAATGTTCACTTCCAAAACAGTGCTCTTCTAATAGAAAAGTTGCAGATTGCGAAAATAGATTTTGATTTGATGGTTTGAGATCATTGTAGTTACATTATGCAAATCTACTTTACAGGTTTACCCAAATCAGGACCATTCCATTATTGCACGTGATGATCATAAGTCTCTGAAGATCGAGACGTTCCTTAATAATTGTTTTTCAACATCCTGAGCCCACAACCGTTATTTGGAAACTGTTTTCTGATAATTACAAAAACTTGTACGGGTTTCTTTCACATGCTTTTCATGATTTCTAGTCCCACTAACAAATTCAAACAAAGTCTAACTTATTCGTCTTTTTCTCAAAACAAGTAGAGAAATTAAAATAAAACTATATATCTTCATTCTTCCAAACTTCCAGAAATCAAAATGCTTCAAAAGATTTCCAGAGAATCATTCCGATTTTTGACAAAATCGACAACTATCGAATCAGTCGAATGGAATGCCCAATGTGTACTCGTTGCGAACAACCGCTCACCACTCAGGAAAAAAACGTTAATAAAAATCATCAAGCACAGCCGACAACTGGCAGAGATTGATTCAAGAATGAAAGTTTGAGTAAACCAAATGATTGACCGTAATTCATTGCAATGAGATATTTGGGAGTTAACGATTGTTTCCAGGATCAATGCTTCAGCACTTCATTCATGGATATAATCACATTCTTGATCAACAAGTAAATATACATAATACAATTAAAACAATGTCAATAATAACAACAGAATGGTAGTCGATACTAAGTATACATCTTCTCACCATCATTCAACAGACTATCAGCTCTAGCTCTTTGCATTCTATTGAGCTTTTTATATTCTCCTAAAGTAATAGAAGATCGAACTGATTCCGGTTTGACATTTCCGACTTGTATAAGGAAGGCCAGGTGCTTCTGAAAACACGTGACATACAAAAAAAACTTTCAACTATTTACCTCTACTATTCTCAAGTCAAAAGCAAAGATTACCACTGGGCATCTGTATATGATACGCATGCCAATAGATCTCTTATTTATGAAACCGGAATGAATGAATAACTTTTCTAAAAACACGGTGCTTATTCTATGAATTCTACAGAATGTGAGAACAATGACTAAACAATCTGACAAAGAGAGAAGGACCTGTCTATTAACTAACACTGCGGGTAATGTTAAAATAGAAAAAAGAACTTCCATAGGAGTCTGCGGTGCAGGGTTCAAAGTCAGAAAATGCCTATCTTCTACATTTTCTGGAAGAGAATTTTCATAATAAGTATGCGACTATTGCAAACTAACTTTTCAAAAGATTGTTCAGTTGAGGTGAGTATAGTTTGAGAACCTGAACGACAAAAATATAACAGACAGATTTGTTAAGATGTTTCACTTGACTATATGCGAACAGTGTCATATCTTCAATTTTAATTTCTGAGTCGCGCAGTCCATGCGCTGGGGTGTTAAGAGTAGTGATTGGAAGATGAGGAGCTACTTCATACATACTAAAATCTTGTATGATGTTGGATAATCTTATAGTAATGACTTACAGTATGGTGACACTCTTGAAATCAACTACCAAGCTCGGTCGCCGAGTACGACTAAAGTCGTTAAACATAAAAGCTTCTGCCATATTTGATAACTCCAACACCTGAAGAAAACCGATAGATGTTCTAAAGGAAACGGTCAAATTACCATGTATTGGCCATCGATGGTCACGCCTACTTGAACCTGGTACTTGTAGATTTCATACATGTCAGTGCTATCTTTATCCATTGAGTAGCAGCAGAGATTATAAGCAAAGCGATTGCCTTCTTTAACCACACGCAAGTACCTGTAAATTGATCGGTGTGAAGTGGAAAGTGATGCAGACATCACCATTCGAAGTCAAAATGCTCCACTTGGTTGGAGAAAACAACGTCTTCATCATCTGGTGCTGCAGGTATTGTGAATTCAATTGTATAGTGAATATCAGAACGGTAGCGACGAGAGCTTAGATAAGACAATAACTTCTCTTTCTCATCGAAATCAAGAGTACTGAAGAACTCTGTTTTCGGAAATAAAGTCATCAATGCGGGAAATTCCTTGATATGGGTCAGATTAACCTGAGAACGAACAAACATTAATCATCAAATAAATGAAAACAGACCAATAATGAAATAAGTTTGTACTTCCATGCGATGGATACTTTTTGAAGGAGTGTCATTCCTGAGCTACCTATGTACTGTTCTATCCTAGTTATATGATATTTTCCTTTGAAGCGAATTGAAGTTTCAATGAAAGACGCAAGGTTTTCTTCTGAACAAAAAGTTTTCTCATAGTTAAATGAATACACATACTATTAAACATAAAATCATCGCCATACATATATCGAAGAAAGTTCAAGAATGGCTCTTCTTCCCATGTAACATCACAGCATTTCAACCTTCGTTCATTATCGTCATAATATTCACTTATAGCTGGATCTCCTAAATCTTCCTCTTCTTGAAAAACTCTAAGAAAAGAAGCGGAATGAGCACCAACGATCTGAAGAACTCTGGTAGATTAGAACAAATATCAAGCTTTACCTGACTATGAACAAAGAGTTCTTTCCCATTTAGTTTGATCATCGCATCGGCTCCTCTATGAAAAATGGATTCGAACGCGTTGTAGCTCTCCCTTGAAGAAAGATCGTTTCGATGTTAGCACTGAATACTCTTAACCATTTTTCAATAATTTTCATGTGAATCACAACTCTTCGTAATGCGGTTCTACCAGTGAAACGCCACATCCTGAATAAGCAGAAATAACTAACTCCCGCGGTAGGAAAACTACCTAGCAGCTAAGAGTTTATCGATAGTATGATCGAATGAAGGGGAAGAATTCGGGAACATGCTAATTCTATTTTCCGATATCTTAAACACAAACAAAGGATAGATAATCATTGAATAAGAAGCTAGATTACCAAGTCTGACCCAGTATGGATACGATGTATGTATTCAATGAAAATAGAAACGTACTTATGGTCATACTTCTTAGTCAACTCTTCGGGAGCCTCAGAAGTCAGATAGAGCATTCCCTGCTTCAGAACTAACTTCCTTAAGACGAAAAATTAGAACTGTAAGACCAAAAGATTTCACCAGTGAATGCCGTACTTCTCCATTCTGACTCGCACATAAAATTTGGTTCTTTTTAGTGAAATAGGCCTCAATTCAATTAATTGATATATTTCCTCGAAGAGAAGGTATGAAACCTGCAATCCGGATCGTCTCTAGTTGTACTTGCTCCAGGCCTAATAGGAATCTCAGGTGGACGTCTACGTTCATCTCGAGGTTTTTTGAAGCTAAAAGTTAATTTTTCCATCATCCAAGAAGGTAAGATGACAACAGTACTGTTACATAATCCGTTCGCTGAAACACTTGAAGTATGTTCCGAGCAAGCAAAAACAAAAAATCGATAACTTCGACGACAACTCCTTACATTTCATATCGGAATTAATACTCATTTCCTTTCTAGGGTGGGATCCCTCTAGGAAATTACTTTGTAATTTCGGGGAACTCGTTGGAGAAAAAGAAATTGTTCGAGCATATTTGATATAATTGTAGCTCTAAACCGTTTTGCCAATACTAACAGTTTTGAAAACATGGATAAGTATTCTTCTAAATACTTCCTTCGCAAATATTCTTTTTCGAACTCAACAAGCAGCAACGCAGGAAACTTTGAGCAATTTCAAAATCGTTTGTTTTCCATCAAATAATGACTAAGAACTATTGCCGAACGAAATCTGAGAAAATGTTGAAGTCTGTCTAGTCAACCAGTCATCGCATCATGGCAACAAGAACTGTTTAAACCGGAGTCGAAATCGCGCGTCAAATTCGAAATGGAAAAAACAGAGATGGGTAAGTATTCATTTGTATATACACAGTCATAGAATATGATAATAAATAGGTTATTTATATACAATACTACTTTTCCGTTTCTTTATTATACTTCGCTTGCTTGGCTCAATCATTGCTTCATCACGACCAAAGAAAGATATTAGTTGAGGGTGTAATCTGCAATTAAAACTGTTCAATCTTCACACGATCAGTTAGAACCTGAAGTGGAGAGCTTTGTCTGGTGGTTGCTCCAGAATTTCTCCATCCAAGTTCCAAACACCAGGTTCCTCTTGATCTTGATCAGGTTGATATGACCACTTGACAACCCGATAACAGTTGAGCGAGGGATCCAAATGGTACAACTGAACAAACAGATCATAAACTAAGAAATTCATAATGTTTTCAGTACTCCTTTTCCTCCATACATAGCGACTTTCCGCATAAATTGAATGTTACTACACCGAGACACTCTGGGAACCATCGACAAATCGAGTGTTCCATCACCAATTCCTAAACAACCATAACGATTATGACTTTGAGTGATTCATACCTGTGAATGGAGCTAACCCATAGGGAGTGAAAGGTGTCACTGTTGGAATAACACAGCAGATCACATGAGTAAACTCGGTATGCCAATGATAATCGTATCGTGGAGAACCTGGTGTCGTAGCACTAAAGTTAACAAATTGAGTGTGCTACTGTAGATGAGAAACTAACGCTTGTCCTTGTTCACATAGAGCACATGGTTTCAAACATGGAGGTAAGTTCTTCGCTGGGTCAGCAGTTTGTTTGTTAGATAGTGAGAATGAAACTTTTCCTTTGTAGGTTGGATGCCGAACAGTTGTACGAAGAGCTAAAGATTTTGAATAATTAAATATTCTCGACAAAACAGTCTCACCACTCCACTGATATCTTATTGGACCTAAACAACGATAACGCTCCGAATCTCTGAGCACATCACCCAGCCAGCCATAAGATATAGCATTGGCTGATATCCGCAAGAGGCTTTGGTCCTTGTGAACAGTGCAAACATCAACATAACATTCAGATCCTAAAATAGAATTTAAGATAACTGTACAGCTATCTCACCTAAGGCAATGTGTACAGCTGCCGTTGCACAATCATTGGTTTCATGAACAGTCGAAACTATGGAATTCGCAGATCCGGCCCCAATAATTCCAAAACGAAGATGAGGAGTCGTCAAACGACTTGCATCTGGGTTTTCAATATCAGCACCTAAACAGAGCATGAACCTATTTGAAAAAAAGCTGTAAATACTACCTGATTCTCTTTGAGTACGGATTAATCCGCCGGATAGTAGCTCGTTGAACAAGCCATCTCCGCCAACAGAAACCTACACATCAACCTCATTACGATATGGAAAAGTTGTTCTCACCAGTCCATCAAGTTTTGACCATTTTTCCGGTTCCATTTCCATAATGTAGTCTCGAGCATGGTTTGCTCTTTCCGTCATGAAAACTTCATACTTTAGACCGGGTATAAGTTCAAAAAGAGGTTTAGTCTAGATAGCAATAAAAGTTGAAAAAAAGAAATTTCAAAAATCAAATACCGTTCGTTCAAAGATTGCTTTGGCTTTTCCCTTCCCTCCGAATGGGTTAATGAAAATGATAATATTCTTGGGACGATTTCGTATTTCTGAATGTCAATCAGTGTGAATAAGACAGATGACAAGAAGAAAATAAAAAAAACCAACTTTTTAAAGTGGACAAAATGATTGTTTGCCAATAATTACGTTCCTGCTGAGTAATGAAAGTAACTGGAATTTCTTTAACACGCCACTTGTGCTCATTCTTTTTAAAAACAAAGTAAAAATAAATTATTCGTTCAGTATCTACTGCCTATAAATGGATTTGGAATTAGCATGAATGAAAGAAGAACTGACTTTGGGATCTTCTAGATGTGGGATGCCTTTGGATATTTTGATTCGATGTGCCTTAACCGTCAACAATTCATCTAGACGATACAAAACGGAATGTTTCAGTTTGCCACTGTAAGAAAAACAAATAATTGTAGTTTTTACACTTCACAAGAACATCTTTTTGTTTCGAATACTTGGAAAGAATGACGAAATTGTTGGATTCTTTGTTTTCTTTGCTGAACTCTCAAAAAACGCTTATTTGTTTCAAAATTTTGGCTTAGTTGCTCGTTTACTCACTCCATCAATTGAAACTCAAACACATTGCGATCGCGATCGAAAACAATACGATGATCTTTTCCATGTAAAGATGTTACATCTGCTATCAATTGACCTGCTTCTCCCGGAATCCGTGATCTACGAGTTCTATTAGCATTCAGTGGCTGTGCTCTTTCTTCTGAAAACAACATCTATGCGGTAAAATGTCGGAAATTACAGAAGGAAAGTGCACATTGAAAAGTGATTGAGTGGGTGTAGAAGGGTTTAACAGAGAACAAACCTTTTGAGTCTGCTAATAAAGGATGCTCCTCCAGACTTTCATTACCCATTTCCTAAGAAAATGTAAATTTAAAAGAAAATGTCACGGCTGTCAGGAAGATACGTAAAGGGCAACAACACTGATTGGAAACGATTTTCTGCCTGAGGACATCAAACCAAATAACCATAAAAATGACATAAGAAACTAGATAGAAGAAGACACAAAAGAGCATGAGTGAAAGTGAAAATGCCAAAGACGAATAAATGATATATTGAGTGCTGGAGTTTCCAGCACGTGTAATGATGACTAATGAAGATAGACTGTTAGTACTTGAACAAGATTTTAGAAAAGCAAAGAATGTATGATAGACATTACAAATAGAGTAGCATGGTGTCTTTTTCAATAAATGTTTGAAACTTTATAAAAGTCATGAAGATCAGGAAACGAATGAAAGAGAGAAAAACCGTCGATCTGCATATTTTGACAGTTATATGAGTCAAAAGTATGAGTGACGATATTTTTAAGTGATAAAAGCGATCAGAGAGGAATAAGAGAAAGAAAGGGAAAAAGAGAGAGAAGAATGATAGACAGGGAGACTAGAAGTAGAATAGAAAAGCAGCTGGTCGGACGTGGCAAGCATCAATTTCCGTTCCTGCTTTCACAAGTTGGCCAAAAAAAGAACGAAATCGGCGACATGCGAAGAGATGAGTAAATGTGCAATAGAAATGAGAATGAAACATACACACACACACACACATACACACACACACAGGCATATACACACACAGACAGAGACAAAAGAAACAACATCAAAAAAAAGAAAGAAAGAAAGACTAGTCAAAAGATGCCTTAAAATATTTATGAAAATAAGAAGTTGTCGTAATGTTTATCATTGAGACAATGATTTATCTGGCGGATAGATAATAACATATTGCTATATGAACGATAATAAGAACAAATGTCATACAAATAAAAACATTTTCGAATAGAGATGAGAGCATGAAAAAACAACCAATATGAGCGCTTACGTTATGTACAAATGACGCATCAATGATGAGAATTAACTCAATCACGTGAAGTTTCACGTAATCCGAATGGTCAGTAATGAGCACATGATCACGAAGAGCTTTTGTCATAGTCCGATCAGAAACGAATAAAAAATGTTGCAATAGAGAATGGTATAAAAAATATGAGAAAAAAATGAGCTGAATAACAAGCCATAATCGAAAGCTGGATGTAAATGCTATTCAAAAATTGTCAAGTAACACTTTGCTTTTTCTCTCGCGTTATTCTATCGCATTGTCCAGAGAGAGACACACACACACACACACAGACACTACTTGATCCTTCTGTTTTTACTATTTTTACTTTTTTCTCATTTATTCTCCGGCTTCAAATAGTGATGGACGGACGTGTAGGAGGTTAAAAAGCACAGATTGAATTTCATACTCTTAAGCATCGTACAAATTGTGGTACAGATATGAAACTGCTGCAAACAGGTTATTCGCAATTTGTCTCTCCTCTTTCTTTCTCTCGCTCTTTTTAATTCTATCAAATCATCTATTTTCGCTTCTTCCGCCAGCATTCCCACGTTGAGGCCAGTGAAAATTGCTAAGACATGAACAACAACATCATTTATGGGTGGAGTATATCTTCTCACCTTGACCAAATTTTCATAAAGCCGTAAACTGGACTAAACCACCAGTCCTAGCAACAACAGCAGCAGCAGCATCAGCAGCAGCTTTTGCTTAGCTTGAAGTAGATCAAACTTCAACAAACTCTTTCCTTCTCTTTAGGACTTTATACACTCGATACAAACAACATTCAAAATTACAGCCTTTTGCATGAGTTCAATGTTGCATGAGGAAGATATTCGGATCTGATTATTTTCCACAAGCTGACTATATTAAGGAGGCTTCCACATGCAGTTTCCGACTCATCATAACTATGGTTGCACTCAATCTCTGTTATTCTCACATTACTTTCTTCTTCCGCTTCTCTGCTGATCGCTTTCAATTATTCTCTTTCTACATCCTATGGAAACACTCATAACGTCCAACATCTGCGAAACTTCGAGAAAAAAAAAAGTTTGAATAATTCTTAATTTGAAACTACTAAAAGTGGTGTGATGAAGGAAACTACTAACCATATTTTACCTTCAAAAAAAAGAGTAATAAAAGAATGAAAAAAACACAACTAAAATATCATGGATAGTTTGGCTGATGATGAAAAGACTTTTCGATTGGAAAGGTCTCTCTCGTATTGTGAATGAATACCGCCACGACCTTGGTCTGCTGGTAAACATTCTGTCTTTTTCTCTCTTTCTTCTTCATGTCTAGATAAAGCGCCCTTGTTCAATAGTTCGTCTTCCTACCTCTATCAAATTGATTTTTTTCCAAATTAACACATAAAACAAGATGAACAACAAATCCACAACAGTATTGTGGTTAGACCAACCACAAACCTCCCGGCTATTAATTATTCAAAAATAAATTACATTTATGTCGAAATGAACAAAATAATGTATAATTTTCAAATAATTCGGTGCATCAACCATTCTACGCCCTTATCTGGTCATATAAATTTTCAATTAAAGCATCAACACAAGCAAAACAAATTTTTATTAAAATTGGTCCCGACACGATGTTTATATGACGTCAGTGCATCTGTCAATAATCGTTAATGATTTCACTTTTTATAAGCGAACATGTGTTTATCATATGTTTCAAAAATTTCTTTAAACTCATCTTCTTTTTCTCTTTTCGTTCTTCATTTCTATTCATCATTTGTAACTTTTCATTACACGAGTTGATATGCGTGTTTTCTCGTATACATTGCCATTTATTGATTTTTTTGCCAAGCACCACCCCTCCCAGTTGCTATGGTTCTTCATCTCTTAAATTCATAGCTTTTTCTCTTTTTTCGTACTCGAAACGTTTATCCTATATTTGGCATTAAATTGCACCTATTTTTAAGCATGGCAGAAAATGATAAAAACTATGGAGAAGAATTAGCTTCAACTTCTCAAGAATATAAGTTTTCACTTGATAATGCTATCGAGATTTTTGAAAGGATGGTTTTGGACTGTGAAAAGAAGGTCGTTCCTAAATCGGTAGAAGAAACAAAGAAAAATGTAAACCGTTCTTGTTCATACATAACATTCATTCTCTTTTTCTTAGGTGAGCACGCAACGTTCTCGCTCTAGGTCCAATCAAGTCAAATCTCCTAATGCCATATTCAGGTGGCGACCCTACTCATTACCGAGGTAAGTATTACCAATCCCACATGTTATGTTTATCTCTCTTATATTAAGAAGGTTTTCCGTCACGAAATCCAAATCTAGCACAGAAGATTTGTCGTCGGTTTTTAGTAGAGTGCGATGGCGCGATTTAGATGTTGATGTAGATGATCTCAAATATAGTTTATTGGAAAGGTAATTTCATAATTTTTTAATTGCTCTCAACGTCTCGTGTATTCAGAAAGGACAATATCTCGTGTAGTGTTCAAGCTGCTCGAGCACCTTCTCCCACATTCCTTGTTGATGAATTATCCGAATATTTTGCTCATTTCGTCCGAGTCGACTTGAAGATGTCCGCTTTAGCTGAGTCCATGTATTGTTAATAACTCGATGTATTACTTGCTCCTTTGCACAGTTTACCGCATGTATATTTTGTACAGAATTAAATGGATTTATAAAAAAATAAATCTTTATATACAGCAAATTTGAAATGTGTTTAAAGGCGTGAGTCAAGCGATACAAGTGAAATCAGAGAACTTTGCGAACATTTCCATTTAAAACTCGCGACCGAACAAAATTGAAAACTGGGATAAAAAGGAAATGCTTAAGTGAGTATCATAATCATATTCGCGTTTAACAATGAACAAACTGGCACAAAATATATACAAATTAATACCCGAGATATGCGATTTTAACAATCAGCGAAATAAGTACAGACATCCCTTCTGGCTTTCAAAACTCATTATGACTTTTCATTTCTCGAAAACCTCTGATTCTGCTCGCTGTGGTTCTAGCTGGCTAGGTTTCTGAATTGAGTTTGAGAATGAATCCATGACCGGAATACTCACGATTTTGTATTTTCTCTTTGTTATCACTGTCCTCGCCGTCTCCATTCTCAATGACTACTTCATCTTCCAACAAATAATCAACTGTTTTTCTAGGCATAACTTTCCGTTTCTTGACCTGAATTTGATATTAACTTTGTCAATTTTCTCTGAACTGACCTCAGTGTCAGTATCAAGCATCTCAATAGTGGTAATGTGGTTGAAATCGAAAATAATTGTAAATTTGAAACGATTTGTAGTTGCTAGCTCTTGGACAACTGCAGCTTGGTACTCTTCTTCGTATCTGTGAGGATGCATAGTGAAATAAGAGGAAATTAACAACATACTTGAAACGGAAATCAGAACGATCATATGTATGCAATGGTTCCTCTAATCTAAACCGATTGTACAAAGGAATTGCAACACCTTCAACTTCATCAGAAACTAGTTGATGCAACTGACGAGCAGCAGCTGCTATCACCTTATCAATACTGATAACTAGATAGGCATCGGTAGGGAATTTCGCTCTTAAGGAAAATCATGATCAAACAGACGGTCTTTTCTCAAGCATACCTAATTCCATCTTCAAATTGAGGGTTCTCCAACTGTCCATCTATGAAGGCCCTAATTTCGCGTAAAGTGTCGTAATAGAATGTTGCTGGACACCGACGCTCTTCCTGAGAAAGGAGAAATTTTCTAAGAAAAGGTTAATATAACTCACCCTCAAGTTAAGAAGACCATTATTTATGTCATTGGCATTTAACAGCTCTGAACGAGAACCATTCTTTCCTTCTTCAACATAAATTGTGTTCAATTTCGACCAAGTATCTCTCTCCATCTGTAAAACATCTATCATGAACGTTAAATTGTCAAAAAAACTAACGAAGTACTGATTCAGTAAGGTTCGGTTTTTCTTTTTAAGATTTCCAAGCCGTTCGCATATTATATGATGCAGACGTAAGAAAGAATAAAGGACATTGCCTCCGTAAACAATTCGTGTTTTGGAGTCTCCAGGTATTGAAGGCTTCTTTCCTCGAGGTCTGAATGATCTGGAGAGACAGATTTTTATTGACTTACGTAAAGAAAACACTTACTGCATGGAATAAAGAGGGTCTGTATCATCCTCGTTGTCACTGAGCTCTTCGAAGTCAACCGAAAACCACTCGTTCAAATGCCTAAATGGGCTGGTTAGTAAAACTTCTGATGACAGTGAGGACACCTTTTCAGGAATTTCTTAATTCTCGACTTATCAGTCCGCTGGATGTTAGATTGTTTTTTGACATAGTGAAGGACCAGACTAGTTGCATCCGAAATTACGTTCTCTTCAGTTGGATAGTAGCAGACCACATGAGGTCCCTGATCTTCAGCAAATTTGTCGTCAGACCTAATATAGTGGTTTTAGAACTACGTCGGAACTACTTCATACCTCATTTTTCTCTCTTCATACACGATTTCAACCTGACGAATGAGGTTTTTGGTTTTGATCCATCGAGCGTCAGACGCTTTTATTAAGTTGGATTGTTGATCACAAGCTCTAAGAACATGTCGCTCGTTTTGCTCTCTCCATAACCAGAACATCCTTCAAAGACAGAATGTTAAGCGAATATTTTTACATTTTTTTTACTCATTCATATTCCGTCTAGCGTCCAACCATTCCTTTTCTTTGGTCATGAGCCGTTCCAGAACCTATATGAATAAATACTTAGAAGATTTACCTAGAAACAGTGGCTTACCATTCTGGCAGTAGCGAAAGGGCTGAACTTGAGAGCCAATGCGATAGTTGGCGCTGTTTCTCCATATATCCTCTTGATTGCTCTGCGCATCAAAACACCTGAGCTAGCACCGAGCTTATCATCAAGTCTGAAAGCAGAGAAACTGAAGACTGGGGTTATGATTCAAAGTTACTGGAAAGTTTCCCTATCTTGTTCGTCCATTGCTTCGATTTGACTCACGATGAGCTGCAAGCTCTCAATAGCATATTTATTGACTTCCAGAATAATATCAAGCTGAAAGAAGAAGTTCTGCAGAGATTTTTTGCCTGTCTCACCTCGAAACGCTCATCTTCTATTTTGCAAGAATAATCTTCGATTGTTGTTTTCTTTGCAGAAACAGAAACTGTATCTTCAGAGCTTGATGAAGGCACAGAAATCCATTCTTCATTCAGTACTTCTTTACACAATCCTGTCCTGCCTGAGCAGAGAAGCTGTGCAGAAGCGGCGGGACGAGTTCTGTGAGAGAATTAGATGCTTAAGCAAACATTATATTAAAAGCAAACCTATAACTGATGCCTAAAACTTCGACAGGGGTGTAGTCTGTGTCACAATCACTATCAACTGGAGAATCGGGTTTCGCAACTATATCAACTTCAGTAACATCTTCTTCATGGAAATATGCTTTCTTGAACATGTTGAAAACATTAGGATATGGACCTGAACATAATAACAGTTACGCGGATTAAATAGCTAAGTTCACCTAAGATCTTCGTAACAGCATCCAAGAAATCTGATGGTAATATGATAGAAAAATTGTACATATTGCAGAGACGAAGAAAATTTTCATACTCATGAGGCTTCACGACTGAACGAGCCTGAAAAACAACTCAACCTGTTCGAGCATTCATAAAAGAAGAACTCACCTTCTCGTAAAAGGCAATATCTTCAAGAGTTGCATAGTCTAATATTTCTGGATCATAGTTCTTCAGAGAAAGTGGCTGTGGGGCCTGCAAAAAAACCATTAAACATCATCATAGCGTATTCTTACCGTTTCGATGACTTCTTCTTTGATAGTTCTCTCCTCAGTAATCACAGTGTAAGTAACAGACTCTGTCTGGATGCTTGTCGTATCAACAGATTTCGTATGCTGCTCGGGATCGCTTGTTCTAACTACTGACTTCTGAACAACTATGAATTCTTCTTTTTCTGTCTGCCGTTTATTTCCGTTAACTTTCGTTCCCCATTCCAAAGACTCATTCATAACTTGATGACTGACGGATGAGCAAACGAGTTTTTTCAAGTGAGTATTGTAGGAAACTTCGATTGCCATTTTTTCAGCGGAGGTATCACTGTCATCAACATCACTTTCTATGTCCTCGTCATCCTCATCATCATTGAAATCTGCATCGCCTTTTATAAGAGCAATCAATCCACGCACATCACGTGTATCGTTGACCAATCCTTGACGAAAGAGGTCTTGAACTAGATCGTCGTCCAATCCATCTTCATTAGCAGTAATATCACCATTGTCGCCAGGGCTCTCAGGAGTGCATTCTTCTTCAGGTTGGTTTTCAGCAGCATCTTCGGGTTCTTCTTCGCGTTCCTCTTCAGCCTCTTCTTCGACCTCTCCTTCAACCTCTTCTTCAGCCTCTGCTTCTACCTCTTCTTCAGCCTCTGCTTCTACCTCTTCTTCAGCCTCTGCTTCTACCTCTTCCTCAGCCTCTCCTTCAGCCTCTTCTTCTACATCTTGATCTACATCTTCTTCTTCAGCCTCATCGTCAGCCTCATCTTCAGTATCTTCTTCTCGATTATCGTCATCAGTGTCGTCCTCAGTATCGTCTTCAGGATCAACATTATCAGAGTCAACATTTTCAGGGTGAACAAATTCGCGACGAGTATTTTCTGGATCTTCATCTGAGTTCGAGTCTGACTCTGAGTCTGCGTCTGAGCCCGATGCAGAACCAGGTCTAGTGCCAGAACCAGAGCCTGAGCGCGAGACTGAGCGAGAACCAGAGCGAGAACCAGAGCGAGAACCAGAGCGAGAACCAGAGCGAGAACCAGACCGGGAGCCAGTTTGAGAGCCGGAACCTGACACAGAGCCAGAGCGCGAGCGAGAGGCATGACCAGTGTCCGAACCAGATCTAAGGCCAGATCTAGAGCCTGAACCGGAGCCGGAGCCAGAGCCAGAACCAGAACCAGAGCCAGAACCAGAACCAGAACCAGAACCAGAAACAGAAACAGAACCAGAACCAGAACCAGAACCAGAACCGGAGCCGGAGCGAGAGCCCGAGGGGGAGCCAGAGCGTGAGCCAGACACAGAACGAGAACCTGAAGCAGAAGCAGATCCAGAACCATCGTCAGGATCCTGGATAGGGTCTTCGTCAGATGTTCCCCTTACAGATCCTTCAGATGTTTCCTTTTCATGAGAATTAGAACTGCCATTGTTTTGCTCATTTTCCTTGGGGAGTTCTCCTGACTTTCTCTCGGATTCTTTTTCTCTACAATCTTCTGGCGTTTCTTGAGCGTTTTCTCGAGTATTTTCCGCAGTACTATTCTGACGAACTGCTTCAATATCATCGAGATCAGTGCTATCTACAGTTTCTTCGCATTCCACTGTGCAATCGTCCTCACGCGCAATTTCAATAGGTTCTTCCTCCAACTGTTCATTATCAGCATCATTTTTCGTAGTGCCAAGTTCATCATCATCTATCTCAGCAGAGTTTCCTTTATCTATTATTACTCTCGGTGTTTCGTCAGCGGTATCCTTGTTAACTTCTCTTCTTTCTTCCTGTGAATTTTTGCCAGAATCATTCTCTGAATTTGTAGAACTTTTGGAGCACATCTTATCATCGTGTTTTGAGCTTCCCTCCGACTTGCAAAGCGAATCTTTGAGAGGCAGATTTGATTCCTTTTCATCATTTCCTGAGACAGTATTCTTGGTCTCTTCTTTGGATTCACTAACAGCTTCGCCTTTAGGGTTCTCCATAGCAGGCTCTGGGTTATCACATGCTTCGTTGTTAGCGCCGCCATCACTTGCAGTGTTTCCAATACCATCAGTATTGGTTGCACCCTTGTTCACTTCATGTTTCGAATTCGTAGAAGATTCGTCTTCATTGTTTTGAGAAGTCGACTCAGCGTTTGAATCAGTGTTACTTTCAGTGACTTCTACAGTCTTGCTGCAATCAGTTTTAACAGATTCCTTGACAGTGCTTTGGGCTTGTGGGTTTAGATGCTCTTTCCGTTCTTCAGCTGTGTGAGAGCTTGCATTTTCAGACAAAGCTTCTTCGGTACTTGTAACTAAACTGTTCGTTCCGGTGTTCACGACATCTTTCCCAATACCCTCTTTCACTGCAGAGTCCACGTTGTTGACATCCTTGTCATTGGGATCAGCTGAAGTTACAGCTGATGTACTGGGAATTTCCTCAGAATTCGTAGTGTTATCCTCAGTGGTACTGTTAACATGAATTGCAGTAGAGCTTCTTGATTTATCCTGAGTGGAGCTCTGATCATCGTTCCTTGAATCTTGTTGAACATCATTCCTCTCCGAGCTATGAGAACTGGCAGTTTTATCATCGCTTCCAGCAGAACATACGGTATTTCGCCTTTTTTCCGACCCAGAGCCATTATTCCCATCTGGGCGTTGAGTAGAATTGTTGGATGAATCCTGTCCGGCACTTCCAGTAGCACTCTTCTCTGTGCTTTCTGAGTTGTTGTTCTCAGTGTTTCCAGAAGAATCTTGTCCAGTATTTTCAGTCGATTTCTCAGAATTCTCAGTGGACGTGTTATCGGTGCGGTCTCCAGAAGTATTTTCAGTACTTTCGGAAGAGTTTTGGTTCTCTGAAACCGAACCTGCACCTCTGTGTATGACTCCAACGGATTGCTTATCCATAGTTTCAAGAGGAGTACGAGGCGATATGAAGCTTTCCGGTTGCACTTCGAAAGAAAAGCGATCATTCGCCTTACCTTTTTTCCCGAATCGTGGAGATAATGGATTTCTCGGCTCCAAAGTTCTATCGCTCGTTTCTCTGTGTTCGACATCCTGCAAAAAAAGAGGAGATTAAGAGAAGAAAAACGAAAGTAAACCTGGATATCCCTCCTACAATCATCGAGCAACTGAGGGAAATAAGATTTGAAATCTGGGAAAAGATCAGGTTCTGAATTTATGGCTTCCCAAACACAATCAAAGAGAATATCTTCCAGATCAGCAGCATTCCCCTAAAAGTTCGATTTAACTGAGTAAGAAAATGAAATACTAACCCCGGAAGAATCTTTGTATGCAAGGAAAACTTTTAGTATGTTCATTAATATATGAGATTTCTCATTAAATCTTGTCTAAAATTGAAAGTTTCTAAAGAATATAGAGTAGACAAACCTTGATTCTGGTCAAAAATGAAATAACGTCACTAGTCGAGATCCTATCTTGGTCTATGAAAGGTTTGTTTGGTTCCAACTTGGGCACTTTCGAGAACGATTGGCTACTATCAGTTTCAACTTTTGGTGATCGTTTAGTAGAAAAATCAGAAGTTCTATTGACAGGATAGTTATAAAACTTTATCGGATCTTTTGGGCTTTCTTGATTTTCATCAATCTTTCTTTTCCGCTTCTCCTTTTCTTCTTTTCGAAAGCCTGCTCCAGGATTTTTCTTGGTTGCCAATGAGAAGTATTCTTTAAGACGCATAAGACTCTTTCTTTTCTCAGCTCCTTCTTCTTCAGAAGAATCGGAATAATATGGAAAAATTCCGTTCTTCTTTCTTTTTCTCTCACTTTGGCAGGCGGTTGAAGGTGGTACAATAGGTTTCGGTACACACAATTTGATTCGATTCTTGAACAGATCAGGAAAACCTTGGCTGTTGGAATTAGCCGGTCCAATATCAAGTCGGTCATTCTTTTGAGAATGAGTAATGTAATATCCATATCTATTACTTGCCTCCTTTTCAACGTCCTCTTCTGAATTCGAAAAAGATGTTTGAGGGTCTGAGACGACACTATTGTTGAACTTATTGCTGAAAGAGTTATTCGCACTAATATAACAACTTTCATGAGTGGAGTCGTAATCTGCTTCGTTCCCTCCTTCGCTTTTTCTCCTATGTAATTTAAGAGTTCGTGTCTTGTCCCTTGGATGACCAATACCAAAATGACGTAGTTGATTAAATTTCTTCTCTTTTTCGGTCAAGCATACGGTAGGAGTTGAACCGAACGTGCGAATCTTTTGAACAGCGCGACTGATTAGATCATGTTCTGTTCTTCTCATTCTTCTCCTGATAGGTTTGACGCAAAACTCCTTCTCGAGAAACTCATCCATTGCTTCTTCTTTACACTGAGCATCCAGAGGATTGTCAACGTCGTCGGAGTCACTGCAATTCTCGGCACAACCAAGGCTCACACGGATATCATCCTGACTTGTTTCCAAGTTGTTTACAAGACGGTCACTAACAGCAACTGCTTCTTCCATACAAGGAAACGAAGCTGTTGAGGTACCTTCAAGAGGATTCATAGGCATGCTGATACTTTGATCTTGTTCGCATTGCTCAGATCTATCTTTTACGGTTGCCATATCGTAGAACTTCTCTCTTGTATTAACGCTCGACAATGGTGATCCTGATTTTATGTTGGATAAGCTCAAAGATGGAACTTCATCTTTCATTGCGCGATTCATCATGGCCAGCATATCATTGAACTTCGAAACATCCCAGGTTTCATGATCATAATCACTGTCGTCTACGAAATCAGGTCGTTCTTCGTCTGATTCTTCAGCCTTTCTTGATTGGTGTGCATGAGCTAACTGACTATCTTTCTGCAGAAGAACGTTCAAGTCACTTTTGAACATTCGAGCAGTTTTCTGATACGAAGAGAAGCCTATATTGGATGAACTCTTAGCGAAATCAGATAATCTAGCTCCTATCAATGCAGACTGGCTCGAAAAGCCGGATACATCTGAATCATTGTTACATGCAAAATGATACTCGAAAGCTAAACGGCTAGCTGATGTTAACTCTCCACTATTGTGATTTTTTAGATTCGAATACTAAAAACTTCCTCTTGAAAAAATCGAGAAAAACGAAAACGCTAACCTTTACACTACCCGACGGATCTCGTATAGCTAATATTTGATTATCAACATGTATTTCATACCCACGGGGCAGAAAAGCATTCAAACCATGTATAAGCTCAGGAATATCATAAAAAATGTCACTGATACGCTGAATCAATTCAACAGCCCTGACACTGGAAGTGTAGTGCATGTATTATTTTTTTTCAGAATCAAAGATATACCTTATGGATTTAAAATCTTCTACGATATCTAAGAACTCAGAATATAGGACAACATCATGTGCGAAGGTTTTCTTTACTAATTCCAAATAAGTCAGTGCATTTTCAACCTGAAATGAGAAGGGCAAATTGTATATTAAGAATGGGAGCTCACTTTATTTACACTATTAGAGTTGATTATATCGAAGAAACTAACTGAAAGTGGTTCAGTTCCATCATTTTCACTATACATACCTAAAAAAATAAATTAAATTAATTGAAAATCGGATGTAAGCACAGCGGAACGAAAATTTGAATAGGAGGCAAGCTACTAGCACCATTCATACGAAAAGTATTCAAATCTTTGTGACCCATTGCTAATTTTCGCGTTGGAGCACATATTCGCTAGCACGTCTGTCATTTCTCTTTCATATACTGCATAACGAATTGATTTATGGAGCAGAAAGGATATATATTTGAATATAATATGGAATTAAAATGAAAACGATTTTCTTCATTGTATAAGGTGTTGGAGCATATTTTAACAGTTCTATTGATTTTTGAAATTCAAGATGGTCTGAATTTTGAAATTTTGTTCGTGTCTTCCATATAAATTAGGAATGGGGGATGGAAATGCCTGACTTGGAAGTTGAGTAGAACATCGAGTGACACCAAGAGAAGAAAAAACGCTTTGTATGGAGTATATAGAGCATAGCACCGGAAATTACCATAATTTTCTCTTTCAATTACAGGTGTTCTCAAACGAATCATATCTGGTAGATCAAAAAAAGTTAATTAAAGTCTTCCCACGAAAAGAGTAGGGTTTTGTCCACCCTCTTGATGATTACATTCGTTGACACAGATGTTCAATAATCTTCACTGTTTTATGATTTCCTTCAAATAAGTTATGCAAATTTTATCAGCCCCCCTTCAGATCATGAAAGTTCTAATTCTTCTCTGCCTGGTGAGCTTTGTGAACTCAGCCTTTTTTGCTACAAAAAGCCTAACATGCTCTCATCTTTTCGTTGGACAGGAATGTGTTGTTAATTTCAAATTTTATAACAGTGGGCCAGAAAACATCACGAAGTATGTGAAGAATATAAGTAATACATAGTATTATGATTCCAGCATCGAAGTCAATGATTTCTCTATTCTGTCCGGATTAACAGATATTCAAGGCTCCACGACATTTGAGTTGCCTACTTTATTAGCCAATCATAATGCTTCCCATGATGTAGTTTTTGTTCCTAACGAGTTAGCGGTATCGCATGCACAAGAATTTCTGAAGTCTCTTGCACAACCCGTGACTGTCCGATATGAGTAATAGTTCATTAATATTTTTTCGGTTCTCAGAATTATTTCAGAGTGAGCAAGGATCAATTCGTCATGAAATCAACACCTCTATCCCTTCCTCATTGTATTGTTGGACGCTGAATATAATTGAATTTCCGTTAATTACAGATATGACCACGGTGTATACTGACGAACAATTTAAAAGAAAATTCGGCTCGAAAATTGAGGTATGGAAATATTAAAGATGAAAATTGAGAGAGCTATTTAAGACTTGGATCGGTTTCTTCGCCATTGTCGGCTTTCCCACATTGGCTGCGCTGTACTTGCGCGAATCAATGAAGAGAAAATACACGGTGAAGAAGAATTGAGCGTGGGGACGCAATTTAATGGCAGAAGCTGTTAATAAAATGTGTTTGTAATAAGAATAGTTTTAAAAATTATCATATCACCAAGTTTTCTGTTTTTTTTTCTGTGCAACGGTCGCAATATTTCCCCTGTTTGTTTTCTATGTCGTCCTGTCGTCGATAGTCATGAGTTAACAGATGATAGTGAAAACTTGAAGCATTGTATTCTCATTTTAAAATTCGTTTTAGCGATCGCCTAAGTATATAAATTTTTAAAGTTTTTAAGTTTTAGTTCATGTATTGATACAAATAATGAGTCTAATATTGAATGATCAAAAATCGGAACACCGTAATGTAAGGGCTTCCTCCATTCACAGTAACAGATCCTCCAGGAAAAAAAAGAATAATAGGTTCCTTAGACTTGTTCTCAGCTGTTGAGACCCTTTTTGCTTTTAGGAAGAAAAAAGCTAAACAGTGGACTTACTACATTGAAGCTCTGAAAAGTGCAATTGACTGTTTATATGAAATATGTCGGAGAGAGCAAAGTGTCTCAGCTTGCAAGGTGAGGCGTACCTTTGGTCTGTCCAACAGCTTTTTCAGGAATCCTTAATTTACATACAAAATGCGGAAAAGGACTTTTTATCACTTATTACGGCTATCAACCTAGAATTATCGTTTAATGAATTAGACAAGTATTAGATTGAAACACTAAGTTTCTTATAAACTCTTTGAAGACCCCAAGCAGTTGCCTGGGAAGTTCGGAAGTCCATAAGTTCTTCTAACCAAATTCTCAATCATGAAGGAGCGCCAGCTTTAATCGATGTATTACCAATGTAAGTTTTGAATAGCATTTTGTTTTTGATGATTTACGTAGGTCTCCCATGATCATCAATGATATAACATTAACTTCCAAAAAAGACGGATGGAATCCCGATAATCGTATGCTCTCGCTGTTTTAATTAAATCTTTTATCTTCTCTTAGATTTGGATGAAGGATGGCAATTGGTTCGAGGTAGGAGAAGAAAAAGTGCCAGTTCTACAGGCACTAGTGAGGCCTTCGACAATGAAAGTCGTTGTAGTGTGGATGAAAACATAGTTCGTGATGTTACTAGCAATATTCATTTCATTGACCAAATTGTAGGAGAAAAAGCCTCAATCCGTTTACGAACGGCTCTCTGCGAATATAAGCTCATGTCGGAAGCATCCAAGTTCGTCTCGTCCAAACACAGCAATGGCAAGATCATCTTCAACAAGATCAACGGCTGCTCGATTAACTTGTCCTAAGAGTGCTATGGATCTCCCTCAAACAAAGGTTTTGTCTTGGAAATTTCCCTTATATGGTTCGTGTATTAGGCTTCAATGGCTAAGATGGCATACTGTCGTCAGAGAATATGGGAAAAAGATGTGCAACCCTCACTAGCAGAGAAACTTAAAGCTCATCAGAAAAAGTAATTATAGTCTTAGTTATAAGAAAAATGTAACTGTTTATAGAGAAAGATTGCAAAGAGAAACACTACCCACGAAATGCGGGTTAAACTTTGTTGACCCTTTTGCTGTTCGAGCTCAAACTAAAGAGTTTAATGAACAAAAAAAACAGGTTTCTCTAACAGTTAGTTATTATCTTCAATGGGAACTATGAGTTACAGATGAGACAGAAATCAGCTTACTCCGAAGGTCATCGTCGATCGTTACAATCTATATGTGAGAATGTAGAAGGAGAAGATCAGGATGCAGTGCCATCAGACCCGAAGCCGACTGCAGTACAGGCATCTAAGTAAGTCGAATACATATGATTCATTCAACACCTATTTAATCAGATCGGATTCTCCGAGATTGGATCGTGCTGTCTCTAGCTTCACATTAAATATGGAAGATGATTCGGAATGGGGTAAAATGACGGAAGAAGAAGAGTCCCTCGCTATGGAAGAACAAAGTTTGAATTTAGAAATTGAGAAGGTTTGATTCATCAATATTCTATTCTGATCTACACCATATTAGGCAGAGTCAGAATTGGAGTCGATTGATGCTGAACTAGCTCGACAAGTTGAGGATGAAGCAGAACAATGTCGGAAGGCGAATGTAGGGAGCTTTCCGATTCTTGGTATTATGAGCTTTTTTAGGAAGACGCAATGATTTTCTTTCCAACTGGCAAGGGACAATACTCCCAGATGGTTAAGAAGCTAGAAGGTGAATATGATTTTTTTGATAATATAAATTTTTACGTATAGAGGATTTCAAAAACTTCTGTCATGAATCATGGAGTGAACTAGTTGAGAGAGAGTTCTCAGGACACTATAGAGAACCAGGAACAGCTGCCGAACGGCATGAAAAACTTTGCTCACCTAGTCGGAGAAGGCAGGATATAAATAGTTTATCTAAGATAATATTTCTATATTAGGTGTGATAAGGATGATAACGATCTCACGCAGAAACATAACGAGAAACAACGGAGAGCTGACGAAGTTAGAGAAAAGATGCAATGTGAAAAGAAACTGAAACTGAAAGAGTTGGCTTGGAAGGTAATTTGTTTTGACTGTTGTACCATCAAATTACCTGTAATTGTTTGTTTAGCGGGAAGAAGTGCGTATGAAGAGAATTGATCTCACGGAAAGGAAGAGGGCTCATCTCCAGATCCGAATGGAAAGGGCTCAAGAAAACAGAGAGAAAACATTATCTCAAATAGTAAAAAAAGCAAAAGGGGACGAGCAAAAAGTGAGTTTTCAATTGCTTTGATATATATTTAACCATATTTATAGGTGTTGGAAGCTCAATTCATTCATAATATTCAAGAAGAGAATAAGAGATTTGATTTGATGATACGCGATGCTGGGATAGAGGAACGAAAACAGTCTATGGCAGACTTACGAGCCAAGAAAATAGAAGAGAAAGTAGCTAAAGAACAAGCAGCAGAAGAACGTCGGAAAAAAGCAGAACAGGTTGGCATTCACTCGTTTTCTATGAAGAGTTATGATATTTAGGAAAGAGTTACACGATTGCAAGAATTGAATGAAAGGAAGGAAGCTCGCCATCAACGTGTAACTAATGAACGTAACCTTGCGGAAAAAGAGAGAAAAGATAAGAGGCGATTGAGAGAACAGGTTTTTTTTTCGATTCAACCTATTGTTTCTATATTCGGCAGTTTTTTCAGCAAGGAAAGGAAGCTAAAGCTCTTGCTCTCAAAAATAACTTATGCACTAGTTGGATGAATTTAGTCGAATCCGAAAAATGGTTCGAGTTATTCAATTGTGCTAAAGTCTACAAATGCCGTTTATGTAACGCAGAGGTTTGCTCATTTGAAGTATTTTCTGTGACTCAGATTCTTCAGGGATTGTCAAACATCGATTCTTTCCTACATGTTCTCAATGATAAGTGCGGACCCAGCATCATTAGGACTGATACTGTACTTACCACATCCGCGATTGTATGTATATTCCACTTTACTCAGGAAGTATTTCCGTTTAGGGTCAACATCTTGATGCTGCTCTACAGTTGATTCAAGAACACAAGAACAGCGTTACCAACACTGAGATCAATTTAAATTTACTGGATTCAAAGTAATATTCTCCGTCGCTAAACACTTATTGAACAAAACTTTATAGCTCAAAAGTTCTTCAGTCGTCGCTCGTTATAAATATAACTGGAGTAGTATCGTCAAAGACTATGAAAGATTTTATCAATTTAATAACAAAACCTACTAGTCGTCGTACGGAAGATACTACGACTAAGTCGATTGAACGTGCTTTGGCTGAAATACTTCCAAACGCTGCAAACAAGGTGAGGAGTAGAATCTTAGAAACAATCGTTTCTATTTATATTCGAAGTCTAAAATTCTTTCTTTCTAGGATAATGCTCAAGAGTTCGGTCTCCTACTTCAGTTCAATGTTGATGATCTCCTCAATTATATAGTTTCATGGAGCATCAACCTTCGGTGTAATATTTGTACATTACGTTATATGACAAAGATATTGCAGGGTATTAACTAAGGTGACCACCTTGATTGTGAGACTAATGGAGTCAGAAGCTTTTGCTTTGAGAAGCTTCTGTAGCGATAGATTGAATGACATGTGTCGCCTTATCTCATCTATAAAAGAGGTTTGTGAAATGAAAGATTCATATTTGAACTTTCTATTCAGACGCCACCACAGAACCTTCAATTGTGCTCAATGCTCAAGATTATATCAGCGTGTTTTGAAAAGCTGAATAAAATTGATTTGAAAACTTTCTGTCTGGAAGAGCATTCAGTAGTGGAACGTTGCAACTTCATCCGCAGGTTTTTTTCTCTCTACATTCTTTCAATCAATTCGTACCATTTAGTGCTTTATCAAATTTCTGTCAAAATCTCAAGACTTGTTGGACTAAAAGCAATCTGTATGATCGTTCTTACATAGAATGTCTAGACGCACTGGCCTTTTCTACTTTGAGCGATTTACACAGTAAAATGGGAAAGAACAGGTAAAGTTATGAGTTGTGTTCTTTCAAACATATATTTCCAGGCTTCCTTCTGATTTCTATGATTTGCTCATTGAGACTGCGCTACGGAAAGTTAAGTTGTGGGAAAGTCACTGTGAGAAAGGAACCGAGTTGAAAACCAGAGAAGAAACACAGTTCTTCATATCCATTCTAGGAAAGACATTCATGAATGAGAAAGCTCGCGAGGTATATGATGTTCTACGTTTTGTATTTATCACATGAGTTCAGGAACTTCTACAAGATTCTGGTAGACTAATCAAGCTGTTCTGTATTCTGTTTTCTTTAATACGTTATTCATTTTCTAAGTCTGAAACACAACTTACGTTCCAATTGGATGAATATAACTTCAGAACGTTTAACATAGTTCAACAATTTGCTTCATATAGCTGGTCAAATCAGGTTTACAACTCTTAGATTGTGTTTTCCAAACCTTCATGTATTTCAGCTCCTTTGCCAATTAGAATGGCGAAAAACTTCAATACTTGCATTGCTTGGCAGTGTTTCTGTGCAATATATAGCAGAGCCGAAGCATAGCCGCATAACTATGCCTGCTTATATAGCGATGACTAAGTCATCTTTTAGTGCAACTAAGCTTTTTTCCAAAACAATCTCATTGGAATACATTATAAGTTATCTCAAAGTAGGTTATCACTAAGAGTTACATTCTGATCTTGGAACTTCAGGATCTCATTAGTGGAACAGAGGAACAACTTCTTCTATCAAATTACGAAAATTGCCTTTCTTTTTATACAAATATGACTAAGAAGTTATCGATCACGGGTTAGGAAGATCTTTAAATAGTCCAGTCATTCGTTGATATAGTTTGTAATAAATTTTGCTTTTTCAATCTCCTTCAATGTGTGCTGGTAGATCTACCGTATATTTCTTTCGGAATCTATTGTCCTTCTAAAACATCCGGTTGTTTAGCTGTATGGTAGATCAGGAAGAACTCTTAGGTGCAGTTCACAAAGTTTTCCTAAAGTGCTCAGAATGCACAGTGGATGATCTCTCAAAAGCTTGTCGGTTCTGTGCAACTGATGAAGCATGTGTCATTGCTATAGACGATGATCAAGTGGTTCGTTTATAACCATTACCCCATTCCTCCAGTGTTTTAGGATCTCCCTGCTGTATCACGGCAACTTTTAGAAGTAGCTTTAGAAGGAAGAGCAGATGATGAATCTGCAGAAACCACTCCAATAAACATTCGCCGCGGACGGTTAGCCCTTCGCATATTCATTAATGCGGCGAATCGTAGTTTGAAGTCGGGCCTTTCTGATCATATTGCGAGTATATAAACTTCATACAGGTTCCGCTCTGCCATACACTCTGATTGTGTTAATCTGTGGAGAGTCTTGATCCGTATTCCGGACTTTTATGTAGAAGTATGTGCTTCACTTGTTGCGGCATCGAAGGAAATGCATAATCGTAATCACCCCTTCTCATTCCTTTCATTTCAATCAACTCAGGATTTGCACTGATGTCTGATTACACACGTTTGTTGAGTGATCTTTCTTTATTATGGGAGAAAACTGAGGAAAGATCTTGGCTTACTGCATTTTTCTCAATAATTTTGGAAAACGTAGGCGAGATGACTAATAACATAACTTTTGTTCCTTAGGATTATGCATTCTTATCTCATTCTTTTGCTGATTTCGACGCGCCCGCTTTCTGCTCTCTGTTAAGGATTACTGAGACAATCGTGGATTCTTCAGAAACTGATGTCATTCTACGAGTTTGATTATCGGTTGTTCTATGAACTTATTTTTGTTTTCTAGGTACATCCTAATAATATATCTTTCTGTGTTGCTTTGGTAGAGAGAATTCTTTTTGACTTTGAGGAAGGTTACGAGGCTTCGAACGTCCCTGTTATCCTCGAGAGTTTAACATATACCATCGATATTATTGGAAGCGTTGCTTTGGTTCCTGCCAACTATAAAGAAATTCTTCTTGACAAGCCATCAGCTGTCGAGCTTTTTGTTGATCTTTTACATTCCGTATTAGATGCCCAATCCGTTTTCGAAAAAGAAATGGATGAAGCAGCTCCTAGAAAATCATATCCTGATAGACCAACCAAACCAGTCTGTCTTTATTTATGATTCATCTTATTGGTCATTGATATTAGGTACCCACTCGAATTCCAAAGGTACAGGAGTCCAAGAGTTTGTTAGCTCTATCGAACGCTTTACAAGCGAACAGTAGTCATATCCTGGGTCTTATGAAGTATGCTTTGGTCAGAGCTATAGGTATCAGTTTTTTTCGAGTTCTTGAAACATATTTTTAGGCAACTTATGCTGTGATAGCGCAGTGAATCGGGTAGCTGCTGGAGCTAATGGGGCTGTTATCATGGTATTGGCATGCACAAGAACAATGCCTTTTGATAAACCATTTATTGTTTGTTGTTTTTGAAATTTTTTGAGGAAAAATTTTTTCAGATGCAATGGTCCATCGCTGCTTTACGTTATTTATGCGTTGAATCAATTGAAAATCAAGAAATCCTCCTGAGTATAGAACAGGTAGTTGCATTATCTCTTACGATTACCGATTTGCCTGTTTAAGAAACCAAGTGGAGTGATAAACCGAGAAAAATTGTTTGATGAACTTGGGATACATGTGGAAATGGACAAAGATGGAAGAGCTCATATACGGAAGAAATAATTATCTCTTCTAAAAATGAATTTTATAACGTTTTCTACTGTAATCAAATTTCTTACGTTTATCGTGAAAAACTTATTTCAATATTTCAATCTGAATATAGTATTTCATTTGTTCAGGAATGGATTTCGCAGCTTTAGAACGTGCTGTTTATGGTGAACAGGTTGAGGATGACGAGGAGTTAATGGCAGAGCTACTTGCCTTAGAAGCAGAGACAGCGTAAAATTAAAAATCACAACGTTTCAAAGAAATGGTTTCAGGGCATCGTCTGCTCCTGCTCTGCCTGCACGTCCTCCAGCTGCTCCGATTGCGCCAGCTCCAGTTGCGCGAGCTCCGGTACCCCCAGCTCCAGTTGCGCGAGCTCCGGTACCACCAGCTCCAGTAGCGCGAGCTCCGGTACCACCAGCTCCAGTTGCGCGAGCTCCAGCTCCGCCAGCCCCAGTTGCGCGAGCTCCTGCTCCACCAGCATCAGTTGCGCGAGCACCGGCTCCGCCAGCTTCAGTTGCGCGATTTCACTTAGTCAATACACTGAGAGTATATTTTAGACCGAAGAGAGGAAAAAAGCAGAGATAAGAAAAGTACTGATCCGACGTCGGAACGCTTATGTTGAGAATGGAAAGGTAGTAATGCATTTTATATAGTAAAGAACCTAGGAGCTTTTGACTTTTGACTTTGCATTATTGATCCTAAAATCTGTAACTTCCAGGCTGCTGTAGCTTGCGATGATAAAACCGCTGCTATGCAATATGTGGAAGTTTCTAAGATGTTCGACGAGGTATTATATCACTTTTGAAAATTTCAAAAACTTGTGCTCAAGGCGCTGAAACTTTTGGAAACAGCATCAGCTGATGATTTGGATTTAAATGAAGCTCCCCCATCACCTCAACCTTACAGGAGGAAGGTTGTTCCGAAATCTTTCGTAGAAGGATTACAGTATAGGAGAGAATTGTATGTAGCCATGGTTGAAAAGGCTAAGAACGCTGGAGATCAACGTAAAACGAGGTAGTTTGATTCATATCTTAAGTTCAACTCAATCATATTTTAAGAATGTACTCGAGATCAGTGGCTGAGTACGATGAAGCTATTGGGCTCGCTAAAAGTGGAGGCACTGTTAATATCTCGGAATTACCCAGCTTACCTAATATGGCACCACTTCCGCCCCAGAAGTCTTCTCAAACTCAGCTACCTAAGCCTGCTGAGCCTTCTCATTCAACAGCTCCCAACAAATCGCCTTCTCCTAAGCCAGTGGCTGGCCCACCGGCAGGAAGTTTGTCATGTTTTGTCATAAAATAGTATGGAAAGTTTCTTTCAGTTAAACCACCTCCAGCCGTTGGTCCATTAGCAGATTCCGGAGAACCAGGAAAGTCGAGAAATCAGACACAGTTAGAATTTCTGCTGACCCGTCAAAACCAATTCAAACAGGCAGCAATAGCTGCAAAGAAAAGCGGGAACACAGAGCTCGCTCGAGAGTATCTCATAGAATCAAAGGCATGCTCAATCTGATTTGTTGTAGTTGTTATTTGAACTGTTCTATAGGGTTTCGAAAAAATGATAAATCGAGCAAAAGCTGGTTTGCCGGTAACTATCAGAGATACCCCGATTCCTCCTCAAGCTCGAACTGGGCAAGCTTCTCTGCAACCGAGAATTGTCGCATCTAATAACAGCATCACTGGATTAGAAGGTGGGAGAGTACAGAAAAAGGTTTATTATTCCGTTTGAAGGTCGGGGTGAAGTACTGGCTATGTTAGAATCTACGTTGATTGAACAAATCAAGTTTGCGGAAACAAATAGAATGAGATTCACACGACTAGGTGATGTTGGAAAAGTTTGAGATTGACTCTGCACCATCCTCTGTTATAGCGCTTTTTAGGTGAATATGTTCGAAAATTGGGCTAAAATATCGAAAACTGATCTTCTGCTTGTGCGAGAAGTTGCCAAACAAGGACTGCAAATCCCGGGGTAGCATACGTAAGAAGCTTCAATTTTTCACTTGATGTCTTAGATTCCGTTATGAGATTAGAGATGTACCAACAGCTGATTTATTCCCAGATCTCGCTGAAGATGTCTTAGAGTTGACCATTGCAGAATGCAGGTACGCATAGATCATTGAATATGATCAGTGTATTATATTTTACAGAGATGTACCGCTGCCCAGTGGATACGAGACAAAACATGCTTCTCTCTTTGTGAAATATTCTTTCCCTTATCCCACTGAAACACCTCAAATGGGTAAAACTAAGACTGTAAATGATACGGTTTCTCCAGGTTATTATCAAATATCGAGAATCGTGAAAAACAGTTTTCTTCAGTTTTCGATGAGAAACTGATGATCCAGATAGGGGAAAGACGAGCCCGAGGACAGCGTTTACTGCGCTCTCTAAAAAGAGCTGCTTTGAAATTGGAGGTTTTGCACAGTTCAATATGATTTTCTGAATCATTCCTTCAGGTGTATCAAAAGGGTAGCTTCCTACGCAGTGATAAACTACTAGGTGTATGCGAATTTAAACTTGATGTCTTAGAAGGAAAGGCAGAAGTAGAGGAATCAGCGCCTCTTAAAGAAGGCCGTAAAGCAGTTGGAGGACTTATCAGTTTCAAAGTGCGAATCCGGGAGCCTCTGGGTGACACAAAGGTTCTGGTAGCAAAGCAGAAATGGCTTATGTTGCTCAACTAATTTAAAACGAATATATCTTATGGGACATGCCTCATGTATTGAAGTTCTTGTCTTTTGAAAGAGTAGTATAGGAACGAGGGATTATAATACCATTTTTAACATTTCAGTCATTTCAACACATTTTTCTTGCTCTAATGACAGAGAATCACCTCCGTTTACAACACTTTTTTGAAAAAAAGTGTGAAATCAGTCAAATTTTGAACCACTAAAAAGTGCTTATTTCAACCAATTTTTTGGTCGGGATGTTCATTTCATTTTCCATTTCCTGTTTTCGTGTATAAATTGTATACTTTTATGTAATTTTAACACTTTGAAATTTCGATGGTTGTCGATTTTTAAAAGTAAGTGGTATTATCTTGAAGATCTCTCAAGATCTCTCAAGATAAAAAATAAGCCCAATAAATGAAATTCTCAAAAGACCTGAAACCTCTAACTAAATTCGAACTCATAGAATTAGCAGAGATAATGGGAATCAAACATTTTTTCACAAATGACAATTGGCAACAGTCAGAGAACAATATTTATTACGCTTTGTTGCTTGGTCAAAGAGCGTCTCCAAACTGTTTCGTGTCTTTTCCATCCCATTCACTTCCACGAGTGATGCCAAACAGAGCTTCATTTCTTGCTTAGAACGCCCCTCCTAAGATGTGACAAATAATATTACTACTACTACCTCCGCTAAACCCTGGTAGTCCTCCTGAGTCACCGTAGAAAAATCCTCGAGTCCCCAGACATCAGTGACAAAACCTGACCGACACGAACCAAAGCTTTCTTTTCCCCAAACGGGAATCCCTGAAAATAAAAACATTATTGATATAAATGGTGAATTATAAAAGTGTTTTACAAATTTGCTCTATAGATTATATCTATATTTAATTTATAAATAATCAAGTTTTCTCACCTACCACCACGATGTACTAACCCAGGAGTGCCGGATAAGCCATATGAGGAATACACGTGAACGTTCCATAATGACTCTACATACTGCACACGTAAAAATTAGCATACGTGTGTGTGGCAACTTCTGCAATAGCGCCGTTCGCGGTTCTCTTGAACATCTAAAAACATTTAATCAAATAACTTAAAGAATATATTAATATGGAAATTAAAACACGGATTCAATTTTGTTGTATCCTACCCCGTGGACGCAGAGATACACAAGAGACAGAGGTATGACGTAAGGTTTATGTGGAGAAAAGCATAGTAGCACAACGGTGGAGAGAAGAGATGGGTGGTTGGCTTACTTCACAGTTCAAGAAAGAAGACGGCACGAACGAGGACGGGCGAAATGATGAACCGCCTCCCGCGTCCGACCGGCAAACGAATGAATGAGCTTCAAATAAAAAAATAAAAATGAAAATTAATGGCATTATGATGAAGAAGGTAAAACAGTTAAGAAAATAGTTGGATTTGTTGCTTATGCTCTGTATTTGTGGTGCCTTGGTGAAGAAATGCCTTGCGGAAAATTTTACTACGAAGAAAGCAAGATTTCTCGATTTATCAAAAGAAATTTATGAGTAACAATTTATCTTAATTTTTCGGATTTTAAGAAGTAGACATTGAAGTACCAGAAGACAAATGGAAATATTTTTCTGAATTAAGTCTAATATTTGTAAATTAAGAATCTGACGAAAGGGTTGTGGTGAATATACTAATCAAGTTCTTGAATCATTATATAGAAAACCATCTAAAAGTAAAAAACTCGTTACGGTTTTGAAAGCTGAAAAAATTCTTATTGAATCTACAAGATTAAGGTGGATATTGGAACATGGTTGTGCTGTTACAAAATTACATGATGTGATAGAAGCTAAACGAGGAGGAATTTTTGAAGACTTTATGAATTGGGTATCTGATGAAAGACGTAAAGGAGATGTTGATCAAAATTACACCATAATTTCTGAAGGAGCTAAAATAGTCGGGAATTCTGCCTTTGGAGTAACTGGCTTGTAGTGCATATGATGATTCTAAGTTGAGAATGTTACAACTCAATTATGATTTAATTGATTATTTCATAGCTAGGGAAGATCGTCAACTTGAAAAAATGGATTCAGATTCAAATTATAAGGCTTTAAGTGGAGATTTTGAGAGTCTGATTGAACCACATCTAAAAGCACTTTTTAGTGGTTCAAAAATTGACTGATTTTACCCTTTTCTTAAAAAAGTGTTGTAAACAAGGTGATTCTCTGTCATTAGAGGAAGAAAAATGTGTTTAAATGACTGAAATGTTAAAAATGGTATTATAATCCCTCGTTCCTATACTACTTGAAAGGAATTCTAAGAAGGTAGTTTATAGATTTTTCTGTGATTTGTACAGTCTCGATTATTTCTTTTATTGAGAACATTGAATGCGGCAAGCAAGACCTGCAAGAAATGCGTCAAGCAATTCACTGGTCTCATTATTACTTTTTCTTTATACGGGAGTGTCGCCTACTTGTGTCTCTCTTCATTTTGACTTATGTGTTACTTGTCTTTTCTTTCCATAAAATAATAAGCAATAAATGTAATTTTGCGAGAATTATAATTAAATAAGCACATTATAAACATTTTAGTCTCACAGCGCGAGAATCCACGTGCGCGCCTTTGAAGCGCGGCGGTTGCGCAGCGGTCCTCGTGGATCGCAGATGCATTGAAACGAAGGCCAACGATTCCCACTAGCCATCGTGAAAGAAGCTGGATCTCTACTGTTTTAGCTTTCTATTTCGGATTTTTCATCCAAATGATTCAATTTAATCAATTCTAAGTTAATCGTTTCTGGACTAAGCCTACAAGTAGCCTCTTCTTCTATGTGTTTATCAACAGAGCAACAGCTGTTAAAAATATTTATTTTCTTCTGAGTAACGAACGTATATGAAACGCTTTCACTAACAATAAACTCTCAGAACGCTTCATACCCTTATTAGCTTTGCAATTAAAACTCTTTCTCCTTCTGGAGAGTTGTAAAGAGGTGAAGTGTGCTGTAACAGGTAGTGCATATGTGGTGTTAAGCTTTGATTGATTTCTTTAGAAATAAGGAAAAATAATTAATAAAAGAACCCTTTTAGTTTTGTACGCAAAGTAACCTCGATGCGCTTTTTGCATGTACTCTTTCCGTCTTTCAAATCATATTCTTGCCTTTGTCTTTTCTCGAAGGGAATTCGTCATTTATGAATCCTTTATAGACGTTGTCACCTGGGTAACTTCGCTCTCTAAACTTCAGATTAACTTATTGAGTTTCTGGTAACAATGTCAGATGGCTTGGTTCAACGAAGAAGAGGAAAGGCTCAGGAAGAGGTATTGTTCGATTCAATTTAGATAACAAAAATCTTGTTTGAGATAGCTATCTATGTGTGTCACCTTCTTTTGAAGTTTGTAATTAAACAACACTCAAAGTACAATCACATATTTTTCAGTTTTTTAATTATTACTTTAATCATCATTCACTTCAGGTAAATGCCGAGCGAAGTGATGATGCCGCAGAATCCGCAGAATCTTCGGAAGAGCAGGTATATCAGCTTTTGGGACGGAATGGATATTTCGCATTTAGGAAGATAATGATAAGGGTACCAGACTCACTCTGATGGAACAAATATTATTGTTGGGATTGAAAGACCGAGAGGTTTTTTGCCTTCTTTTTTCTTTTTTTTTCATACTCTTTTTAGGGATACACTTCGTTTTGGAATGACTGCATATCATCTGGTCTCAGAGGTTGCGTATTGATTGAATTAGCTCTAAGAGGAAGAATTACATTGGAAACTTCGGGAATGAGAAAAAAAAGTCTTTTAACTAGAAAGGCATATTATCCCAAATTTTAAGTTTCCATACTTTCGATTTTCTCAGGTCCGCGTAAAGAATCCAGAGCCTGTCGGAGATGTTATCCTGGACGAAGCCCTGAAACACATGAAAGAGACTAATCCCCCAGAAACTGTAACAACTTGGGTAGAATATTTAAGTGGAGAAGTTGGCTCAGCTGCTGAAACCATTTTACAAATAGTCTTTTTAGACCTGGAATCCTCTGAAATTAAGATACCAATTGAGAAATGTGCGAGAAAGATTAGCAAAAAATTTAGTGGAGAAGGGAGTATTAACCACGGATAAACAAAACTTCTTATTATTTGAAATAACTACACATCCTTTATCAGATGGCAATATGAAGACCAAGCTCATAAAGGTTTGATGCGAACCTCAACCAGTACTAAGGTTGCTTCCTTGTTACAGGATATTCAAGATGCTGTACTATCCAAATGGACTAATAATGTGCATAGAATGGACAAAAAAATGCTTTCTCTCATAATTTTGGCTCATGCTTCCGACGTACTAGAAAACGCTTTCGCTCCTCTCAATGATCAAGATTATGAGGTACGCAAATGCTGCTTCGAACTCTTTGCACTCTTGTTCTCCTATTATTCAGGTAGCTATGAAGCGAGTTCGCTCTCTCTTGGAATTGGATTTCGATCGTGCTGCTGAGAAAAAGAATAATGAACTAATGTGGGCTGTTTTCGAGGCCTTTAGTAAATAAATTTAGGTAAGTGAAAGTAGCTCTTCTATCTGATCATCGATTTTCTGCTCTTTGCAGCCTTTCATCATTGCAATAGTTTCCATACGAGGCGATTCCCATTCTTGTCACTTTAATTTTGAGGTTTTAGCTGATGCTTCTTTGTATTAATCTTGTATGGGTAAGGGATAATTATTAATTACGCATTAGTTTTTGTTTATGACCATATATGACCAAGTACAAATGATTTCTTCATCCTACGTGAGAATGTGGTAGTGAGAGAAAGCAGCACCGGTACTTTGTTTAATATCTTTTGTCTGTCTGTGTTGCTTTCATTATTGTAAAATCTAAGAACGGCGTAAATGCGACCCTTCGAATTCCCTCCCCTCCAATCATTCGTTGCGGGGCCACCATCACACTTTATAAATTTTTAAATATATATATATAAATATATACATAAAATTATATGCTATTAAGGATTGAATGTGATAATTAATTTCAATAATAAATAGAGATATTTCAACCGGTGTTTTCTCTGTTGACCCCGAAGTAGTTGGCATGTTGATGAGTTCCCCTGTCAAATTGAGTAACTTAGAACATTCATTCACGTAAAAACTTGTTTGCAGATCGATTTCCTTTTCTTACTCCTAAATTCATTCAATTATGATGTGATGAAGCATAAATATGGCCCAACTAATGACTTAATAAATATTTTCCATAAGTGCTATGGACTCGATACTGACCGCTTGGACATACACTCCGCGATTGTTAGCTCGAACTGTGAACGCGGAGTGCTTACCGTGATATTGATAATTATATCGAAACTAGTATAAATGAAACGTGAAATCTGGGCAGATGAAAGATTGGTCAGCTTGGATGTGATCAGATGTGATCAGAATCCTTCTAAAATAAATGTCCCAAGATTGTCTAGTTCAGATAATGCCAAGTCCGTAAAGCAGCCAAACCACATTTCAGACAAAATTCAATCTTTCTCCATCATCTTTGTTGAGAAATATCTGAAAACACCCCCATCATAAGTAATTAAGATCTTTGTTGAAGTAAGAAAGAGGTGTTCTGAGAAGAAAGGAATCAGCTGTGAACAGTATTTGTCAGGTTTTTGATCGACATCTCTTTTCGCAGGAGAAAGAACACTATTATATACTATTAGTAGAAAATTATAAGCTTCTTCCTCGGCAAACGGGGCGTTCTCAGGTCAAGTTTCGAATGTCATTCCGGCACGCGAAGTGCGCAAGCGTCACGTGTAGGCGCATCCGCTGTCTAACTGCTCCTTGAGAGGAGTGAAGCTGCTCTTGATTTTATTCAAAACTGCGAATTATGGAATCTGATCTCACACGTGATGATATTGCCCGATTTCGTGGCCTTAATATGGCTCATGGTTTCTTTAAATCAATTGTGAAAAATCAGATTGATCGGTAAGTTCACTGTCAAATATTTCTTGGAATATCACGTGCTAAAAGTTTTTAAATTATGCCGTTCTAGAGATGAATATCACAAAGTTATGGAGGAGAGGAGACGGGAAGTTCAACAAAAGATGAATGAGGGTACTAAAAATTTTGTATAATGAATTGTACTAAATAATATATATGTTAAGAAAGATTAGCTACACTTAGACCTAATCAGAATCGGTCTCAACAAATAGGAGAGAAGAAACTTTACATACCTCCACATTTACGAGATAGTGTAAATAAGGCAAATCAAGTTGCGAATAACGAGCGAAAGTTATATATACCTCCACATCTGAGGGATAATCATAGTCCGCAACCAATTGTGAAACCGAAAAATGATGTAAGTTATATTTTCGTCAGCAGTTGCCTATCGGTTGGTTCTCTGATGTTTGTAAAATAAAATAATGAGTTCTAATTCATTTTTTCTGTTCTTGAAGTAGAGAACAACCGATCAGTGGCTTGCATACAATTAAATGAAGCGTTTTCACGTGTTTCACGTGGACCGCAAAGCTTTTTTCGCGATATTGATTTGCAGCAAAAGAAGGAAAAATTCATTCGGAGTCAATAAATTTTTTTTCAGAGAGGAAATTGTTCCGCCATAATAAGTGAAGTAGAAGAAAATAATTTAAGAGAAAAGGTGAGTTCGTCAAAAAGCATCAGTGATCAATTGATAGCTTCGTTGCAGATTCGGAATAGATTAAAAGGAAGAATGGAAGATATCGATAATATAACAGTTCCCAAGTCGAACTCCGGTATATCCGACTCTTTGAATACAATATAAACTGTTTTTTGCAGAAGCAGTTGGGTCTTCAGAGCCTTTGTTCATGTTGAACATGAAAGATATGGACGGAAATAGTGTTGAAGTAGCCGTTATGAATGTATGTTATTCTCAAGTTTCTTATATGCCATGCCGTACTACATCAGACGGACAATGCTGCTAGATTAGCTAAAGAATTAGGAAGAAAATATGGATTCAACGACGATCAGTGTCGAATGTTACGATTAACGTTAGATCATGAATTGGAAAAACGATTATCTCGTGAGTGATGATATATTTCATGTTTGGTTTCTTGATTTTACTGCTAAGGAAAAACAAATTATTTTGTTTATTTAAGGTGTTGAAGCTGTCCAACAATGATAATCGTTGGAAGCCTGTCATATGAACAAATATTGTAAAGTATGATTCTGTTATGGACATAATCTCTAAAAACGGTTTTCAATTTACTGGATATGGTACGGAGTTCAAATGTTAATTACGTCTAGTTTCTTCTGCATACCATTGCCACAACTACCAAAGAATTCTTCTGTAATCCGAGCCATTTAGGGCTTTTCCCTTCGCTTGTTTTTAGATTCAGTTTTGATCGCGATAGTTTCTTTTTGAATTTAGGCAAACGTCGAGATCTCTATTCGAAATTCCGGTCTCGGAAAGTTTGTTTTAACAAGCTTGGCAATTCAAAGCAGACAAGCTTGAACAAAATGGAAAAAAATGAAAAAAAAAGAACAAAAACTGTGATTTTTGAAATAAGGGTTTCTTGATCTTGATATATCTAGTGAAGTTATCATTGTGATTGTACATGTTTTGCTAACAAGAGTTTTATATTTATACTTTTTTCATGTTATAACGAGAGTTAATAAATCCATTAGTCATATGAAACCGCTTACTTTCCTGATTCCAAAATTTTCTTCAAAAATGAAAAACATAGCTATTGACAGTTCTCTAAGCTGCAGCTATTAGAAGGATACTTCTCATCACCACAAAATTTCCAGATTCGTCATGATATGAAAACTTGCCGGCCAACAACGATGGTGTTTTGTGAGCACAAACGGTGCTCCTGCATGAGGCTTAAAGCAAGAATAACATTGTGCAAATTCCAATTTGTATTAATAAAGTGCTCGCTGCTGGTTTCGTATGGTTCCTGGTTTAACGCTCCGCCCAAATATCTGTGCGCTCTACGGTTGCTTTGCGTATAATAGTGTGAAAAAAAGAAAAGCTAAAACTGAGGTTTTTTATTTGATCACAACGTTTCATTCACGTCGTTTATTATTGAAAATTCCAATGAATTCTGCTTTTTCTTGTTTTTTTAGTATGAATGCAGGTGTTGTCGTAGCTAATCAAAGCAACAGATATTTAACCAAAGCTGCTGTAGGCTTATCCAAGCGACCGATTTTGCCAACGAAACAGAGATCAACGGGCGAAGTGGGCTTTCTGGAATGATTATTCAAAATGTCTACATGTGCAGGCTGTTACTTTTGTCGATTATAAACGAGTGAAATGTATAGCCGGGTCAGGAGGTGATGGGATGGTCTCTTTTTTTCGGTTATTAATATCTATTTATTTGATATAAATCCGGCTTTTCAGTGGTTATCGTAATCCTTTCGGAGGACCAGACGGTGGTGATGGAGGGCACGGAGGTCATGTTACTTTCAAAGGTTCAGTATGACAAGGGACTTGGCTTCATATTTATATTCAGCAAGTAAAAGAGTGACAGATTTATCGCATTTGAATTCGATCCTAAGAGCAAAAAATGGTGAATTCGGAGGTTCAAAATCTTGTCATGGAAAATCTGCACCTCATTTAGAAGTTCTAATTATAGCAGAGACAAAATAAATGAAAATGTTCTCCAGATTCCTGTTCCTCTCGGCACAACTTTCAACTGCACATCAGCGGGAACGACTTTGTTCGAACTGCCGAAAGAGAACGAAGTTTTTTCTTTGCAAGTGTTTATCCAACTAATTTGGGAATGATCATAGATCTTTGTCGGAGCACGTGGTGGAGCTGGTGGTCGAGGAAACCAGTTTTATGTGTCTAATGAAGTGCGAAAACCGTTCAAAGCGGAAAAAGGCGGACTAGGGGAAGAGGTATACATTGATTCAGTGATAGTTGGTAACAAATGAATGCAGACAGTGTACGATGTAGAAATGAATGTGATCGCTACAGCTGGTTTGGTGGGATTCCCGAACGCGGGAAAATCGTAGGTGGACTGAGAATATGCAGGAAGAGTAAAGTGTTTCAGATCGTTGTTACGCGCCATATCAAGAGCCAAGCCGAAAGTTGCATCATATCCTTTTACGACCTTGAAACCACATGTTGGTATGGTTCATTACGAAGACTTTGAGCAGGTTGGAGGTAACCTTACATT